CTTCTGCTGAAACTGACCAGCGCTGACTACAGGAAGCCCGAGGCAGAGTTGCTCTGCCCCGGGCTTCCTGGAATCAGCTGCTGATCAGTTTCAGCAGCAGCTGACTTGGGGACGCCTGGGGTTCTTAAGTTGATTCTCTATGTAAGTCAGAACTGGCGGTCAGTTTCAGCAGTGTCTGAATCTGGACGCCAGTTCCGACTTACATACAGATTCAACTTAAGAACAAACCTACAGTCCCTATCTTGTACGTAACCCGGGGACTGCCTGTAATTATTAGATAGTACCTGCTTTACTGTTTTTGTTTAAATTAACATTTTCTTTTTCTTTCTCTTGTCCTCATAAAGATCCACATCCAGAGAACAGAAGGATGTGACCACATGACCTGTTCGCAATGCAACACTAATTTCTGTTACCGATGTGGGGAGAGATACCGCCAGCTCCGTTTCTTTGGAGATCACACATCAAACCTCAGTATATTTGGATGCAAATATCGCTACCTCCCTGAGAGACCGCATTTAAGGAGACTAGTGCGAGGCTCTGTCTGTGGTGAGTGGATGATGTGCTTTGCAGAGAACTGCATTATGAAGTGATGATGGGTGGGAAAGCTTTTTTTGATCGGGGCCACTGACTTTCAGAAAAATCAATGAGGAGCCACACACAGTGAGAAGCAAAAAAAATGCAAAACAAAACAACAACAAACCATTCTCTCACTCAACTCATTTGGGGTAGGGAGCACCAAGGCTTTCGGCTTCTCTTGCAGAGTGGAGACTGCTGTGTGCCTGATCAGAGTAAGCCTGGATCTCGCTCGTGGGTCATAAGTTCACTGCCTCTATATTAAACAATTAACAATTGGTTCAAATTTCAGGATAGACCTCTTTATAAAAAATTGTTTTAAGATGCTTCATTAAAAATATTTAAAAAATTGATTTTTTTTTTATCATCAGGCTATGAATGAATACTTTTTTTTTCTTTACCTTTTCTGATGGACTTCACTTGTATTGGAACTTTTTGTAATTGGAGTGTTATGTTAGCAAGCAAAATGGAAAAAACTTTATATGCAACATAAAACCATGTTAATGGGGAATTGAAGCATGTGCATCTGAGAAGACAAACTTAAGAAATAAGGATGCCTTGGTGAACATACTTTAAGAGCAACTTAGATTTCCAAAGAGATTTAAATTCTGGGATTCTGCATTTCTCTTTGCACTCTGTCCCTTGTTACTTTTGTACTCTACACACAGACATACACACTTGAGCAAATTAGCAAGCACTTTTTTGGTAATGCAGAGAAAACTACATCTGTGGCCTTACAGATGAACAAAGGGTATTGTAGGAACCATGGGCATTGTCTCCGTGGTATTTCCCTTCTGTTTGTCATGCTACCAGACTTTGATGATCCAATTACTAATGCAAAACAGTGCTCATCTAGAGCTGGTTGAGAATTTTCTTTCAATGGTTTTTTCCATTGGAAAAAATAGTTTCTGCAGAAAAATGTTGACTTTTGTCTGTGTTTTTATTTTCACTCTTATTTTTGGTCTGCTATCTAAATGAAATATTTTGAGATGGGTCATCATGAATTAAAACATTTCATTTCCAGTCAGTTTGATGTTGAACTGTGCATCATGAAAAATGCCTGGCCCAGAAAGGAGAAGGGGGGCTTGAGGAATATGAAGTGTCATGGTAGCTGGATGAACACAGTTCATAGTCAAACAAGCTGCAATGAAACATTTTGATTAGGACTATCAATATAGTTTCAATTGAAAATGGAAAAATGAAGTGCTTCAACACTTATTTACATTTTTGTAAACTTCACATTTGGGGTAAATTTGTGATGATACAACTTCTCATCCAAATCAGGAAGAAAGGAAATGTTAACCTAACAGAATATCAAATTTCTTGACCATCCTGGCCAGCTACCTCATTGAATATTAATATTCAAAACCAGCAAAATACTATTCAGGGTCAACATGGACTAGAAAGCAGTTATGAGATTGGGTGGGAGGTATATCTAACTTTCCATCTGAGGACTTCTGACTGCTTTCTGTGTAGCCTTGGGCAAGTTATTTTAGTGTCTCATTTGCCAATTCTGTAATGGATATAATAATACTTTGCCTTGTAGATTTGTTGGGTGGCATAAATCATTATTTTGAAGATGCTCTTGTAAAGTCTGTAGCCTATTAAACTATTTGTGGATATTTCTCTTAGTGAAGGTAACAGTAAGTGGTAATAGCTAACTTTGACCCCATCATCTTGTATCTAGGCATGCTTCCAGGTGTTGAGATGGAGGGGAAATGAGGTTAAATAATTGTCCCTTCCCCTTCTTGATAAGTTCCTCCACATCAGGGGTGAGCAATAATTTTTGCCTGGGGGGCCACTTCAAAAAATTTTTGAAGTAGCTCCAGGCCACTCTGGAAGGGGCGGACCCTAAGCTGGGCTACCCCACTCCCAGAGCATGATTAGTCTGGGGGTAGGGGAAGCTCTTTGCGCCCCCCCTTCCCACTAGGCACCCATGCCCTGGAGGAGGCTTGGCATGCTCCCCCACCCCAGGGGGCACAGTGAAGGAAGCTTCACGCAGCTTCCCCGCCCCCAAGTCCTGATTAGCGTGGGGGTGGGGAGCACACGAAGCCTCCTCCGCTCTCCCCCTACCCTGCAAGCAATACATGGCACTTCAAGGCACCACATGCTCCTAGCAGGGCAGGAGGAAGCTTTGCGTGCTCCCTGCCCTCAGGCCAATTAGGGCCTGGGGACAAGGGGAGGGCCCAAAGCCTTCTCTGCTCTGCCCCCACCCTTGTGAATAGTGTGCGCAGCCTTCTCCACTCTGCCCCTACCCTGCGCGCAGCACTTTGAAGCTCTGTGCACTGCTCGCAGAGTGGGGGCAGAGTGGAGAAGGCTTCAGGCGCTCCCCCCTCCCTCAGGCCCTAATTGGCCTGGGAGCAGCAGGGCCTCAGCGGGCCAGATCTGGTCCATGGAGGCCCATTAGCCCACCCCTGCTCCACATTCTGGAAAGATCTGTTGCTATGATGTGAGTCAAACAGTTCTCATTGTCCACATACTCTCTGAGTTCCTGGGGAAGTCTTTGTAAGTGTGTATTCCCCTTTATGGGCTATCAATCCTTTCTGGCTTCTCTACTGTTGCACCTGAAAGACTGGTTGTGGGTGTTTCCAGCTTTCCAACAAGTTTCAGTAATACAGGCAGTCCCCGGGTTACGTACAAGATAGGGACTGTAGGTTTGTTCTTAAGTTGAATTTGTATGTAAGTCGGAACTGGTACATATTGTAGGGGAAACTCTAGCCAAACATTTCTCCAGAGCTCAGTTTTATTCTCCCACACCTCCCTTCCCTCAGTCCTTTATTCTCAAGCTGAGGTGTCTGCTGAGAAAAGCCGCTCCGCGTCTCCCTGGTCTGCTCGGGGAGGCACTAGCTTCGCGTCTCCCTGGTCTGCTTGAGGGAAGCAGCTAGTGCGGGGTTGCCTCACCCCGTTTGTAAGTAGGGATCCGATGTAAGTTGGATCCGTGTAACTCGGGGACTGCCTGTACATAGCAAAACGTAATAATTTAGCATACAGTGACAGCATATATAATCCAACAGGATATTGATATTCAACGGATCGAGACTTTGAGTGATACTTCACAAGGCATACTTTGTACAAAATATATCCTAATCATATCACTGTGGTAAACATGGGACAACCAGTGAGTTACTTTGTCCATATAGAGTCACAGTGTTACTCTGTTGCAATGCTGATATTATTGCAATCTAGACCTCTAAAAAGCACATTTTCTAAGTTTCTGTGTGATGGACACATTTGTTTTAAATTAAATGTTACAGCACTCCTGATTTCACTAGAGAAAACCTTACATGTTGAGGATTCAAAACAGAAAATAAATCCAGAATATTATTCATTGATTTCTGTTGTACGGCAAAATTCAAGTAATAGGGTGCAAACAAATATAGCTAGTTGTATGTCAGTAAACAAAACTCTTAGGTAACAAATTACAAAATGTTCTCTTAAAAACAATGAAACAAAAATAAAATCACACTTTTTTTTTTCTTTCCTTTGCTTGCTCCCTCATTGCCTACTTTAGAGCTACTGTACTTCTCTGGAAGCCAGAGAGAAGTGTTTCTGTTTATGGTCTCTTCTTTCTTCCTCTTCAGCTCTTTCTATCCTTTTGTGATGTTCTGCAAACTATATTAATAATGCTTTCTCTGTGTCAACCTTTACCCATAGATGAGTAAAAACAGTGGCTCAGTTGTTGCTTCAGAATTATTTCCTCCAAATGACAGCTCACTGTTCTGAAAAAAATGCTGTACAAGATCTGGATTCCTTCCAGAAAGATACTGAATTATCTATGTTAATGCAGACCTCAGGCAACCTTAAGGCTGACCAATGACATCAATGCCAGTAGACCTCCTTGGGCAGTGAAGCCAGTTTCAGAAGAAAGTTATAGCAAATGATACAACCACACTCTGTCCTTCCTCCCACTCTCCTCTTTCATAACCATATTCTTGGTAGCACATGCTTCTGTACATCTCCGTAGAACAGTATTTCTCAAAGTTGTCCACAAAACCTATTAACTGGCGGCACTGGTTTGCTTATTTACCGGTGGTGCAGCCATGGAGCCTTGCAGCTCTTATTGGCCCGTTTCACTATTTGCAGCCAAGGGGCGTTGTGGGAAGAAGAGGCCCAGGCCACGCTGCTTCCCCCAGCTGCCTTTGGCTTCAGACGATGAAGCGGAGCCAATAGGAGCCATGAGACTCTAGGAACCTGGTGGTCAGGGCGCCAGTAAATAAACAAACTGTGGTGCAGCCAGTTAATAGGTTTCTCAAAGTGGTTTCGTGGACCATTTTGAGAGACACTATCATAGAACAATCATTTTGGGGGGATTTTGGCATTTCTTAGTCTCTCTCACCCAACTCTCTTTAGGGCTTTGCATCTAAAGGAATATTCAGAAGCTTTGTAACCAAATTCAGACACCACTAGAAGATACTAGAGGCCAAGTGTGGCCAAACTATGTATTAGGAGCTGCATGTGGCTCTTCCACTGCCCCCCCCCCCCCCACCCATGCCCCACCTCTGTTTCCCCCCTATCAAACTCCGGAGGAGGGGGTTTGCAGTTGAGATTTCTGCCCTGCTAGGAAGTGGGGGTGTCTGGGACTTTAGCCCCATGTCCCAGAAGGTGCTACCGCACAGGGCAGATTGTGCATGTCTTGCATCTCTTGTACTTCTGAAGATTATCAAATGTGGCTCAGAGGGTTGGTAAATTTGGCCACCCCCACTATAAGCAATCCATCATGAAAGCTCCCGCTGCTATCTTTCTTATTAATCTGAATAAAATCTGCAAAATATGGTGTCTGTCTTGATAGCTTAATATGCTTTTATGAATCTAGCTTTTGTTGCCAAATTACACTTGTACTGAATACTATTGATAAGAATATTTAGCATTCCTAGAGAGTATCTACAATTGCATAGTTTATTTTGAGTCAATTTTGCAGTAGCTTATTTTGAGATTTGGTGCTGTCTACACAGCACTTATTTAGAAATGAATCG